CACAAAATTTTCAGAAACAGGGTCCCCGCTCGAGCGGGCCCAATAGGTCTGCAAAAGTACTGGTTGCATCAGATTCACGCTAGAGCGTGAACTCGGGCGCTCGAGCGGAAAGTCTGTCTATATAGCTCCCCGCTCGAGCGTCAACTTCTCCCGCTAGAGCGAACATCAAACTTTCTGGAAATTCCAGAACTGTTCTTGGAGTTCAATTTCGACATTTCAACTACATTTCTTGCATTTCACAGCCTATAAGTCTCATATACATATACCAACATGATATAAACACCAAATTACAACATATTGAAGTTCAATTCCCATGAATCAATCACATGCAAACCCAAATTATACCAAACTTACTTCCAATACATTAAATTCATGCATTTAAGCTTCATATCCTCATCAATCATGCATGCAGGTCATTTCTTGACTCCATTTCTATTTCAAATGGTACAAATGGTGCTTAAAACCATGAAACTTATGGCCTCAATGCGACGTCATTTTAGAGTTCAAACCATAAATATTTTCCCATCGCCCGTCTTTTACATAATATGAAATTTTGTCGAGTACAATGGTCAGTGCGAGACAATAATTAACTACACTAATAATCCCAAAGCTGGATAATTTGTTCGTCATCCTGCGTGTAATAAGCTGGGTAAATACAGTCTCTGTGAGGCTTCTATGACCATGGGATGTCAATCATGTATACATTGTCGCTGTAAACATCCAGATTCCCAATACTTTCCGGAGGTTGTAGTTGAACAGGCATTCTATCTTGTACAGCCCCTGATTGCCCAGTCTTGGGAGGTCTACTGCTTTGAACCACATCAGGTTCTTCAAAGTGTCATAAAAGACCCTTGACAGCGTCCTCTCTCTCCAATGGACATGGTTCGACACATCCGTTCGTATGGAATATCGAACAGCCGCATTGGAAGTGGAATATCTTCCTGCGTTGGGCCTTCTTCTTGGCATTACGATGCCTCTTCTTGATTGGTTCTGCCGAACAGGGGCTGATCGACTGTATAGAATTCTGCGTTTTTGATCGTCCACGCTTTGAGCCCGGCGTGTTCATTTTTTTCCAAAAACTCTTTGTAACTAGAATTAGCTCCAGGGTTGCATAATATAACACTTGGAATCCCGCCCTTTATTTTCTTTGCGCGGGCATATTTACAATTTGAAAAAAATTCCCGTTGCGCTCCAATAAACTCCTGCCAATGTTTCAAAAATTGTGGGGCCACATCATCGATTATGTTGTAGAAAGCGTCGTCATTATGGTCCCTCAAGTCGATGTGGCCAGAATAATAATTATGCGGTCCCAAAGACCAGGCCCAACATGTTTTCCCAATTCTAGATGGGCCTTCAATTATAATGCTATTGGACCTGTGCGGTCTTTGGGCTTCGTCTCTTATATTGTCTGCAACACATTGATGTATGGCTGTTGGAACGATCTATACTGTGTCTGTAAATGGATGAACATACGGCAATGGTGGATTAAATGAAATCCGATCATAATTGGATGACAACTTGTCAAAATTTAACCAGAAACATTTTGGGTCGCCATTTCGTACCAGTGCTAGTGCTTCGTTCTTGGTGCCAACGGCAAGTGCATCGCGATATATATTTTCTTTGTTACTCTGCTTAGCACAGCTGCCCCTCTCACGAAATTCACCCTATTCCGTGTAATCCCCGTGTTTGGAGATGTATTCCAGCACATTCTGATGGTTGTAGGCCCCTTGTACATTCGGATGGAAATGGCGACTAGTTCGATCATGCATAACGTCGAAGAATCATTCATCCTGTGTCTGAAAACGGTATGGGAATTGGACAAGAGCATGGAGATGTGGTTGCCCATCCTCATGTAATTCATATGCAACCCTCACATAATTTGGTGGCCTGGTTGTGAACAGTGCTCTAATTTTCTCTAACAATCTCTCTTTAGATATAGAACATTGGGCATATGTCAGGAAGATGTTCTTGTTTTGAACTCTAAAATGACGTCGCATTGAGGCCATAACTCACTCTCTCTGATGAAGCAAATCACTCTCCAAAAACTTTACTGGTGTTAGAGAGTGAGGGAGTGAGTTATATAGGTGCCTAGGAGCGTCCCAGGTAATATTCGCGCCACATGTCGTCCCCCGATTGGTGCTCCCTTCCGCATTTTGTGGCGTGTTGTCGGCTAGCGTCTCCGCTCCGCGCCCAGATCTGCGGCCAAGATTAAAAATCTAAAAAGGTAAGCGCAAGCGGGAATTTATTATATAAGCCAAAATAATTGGGGAGTTTGAATTATTTTGGAAATGGATCGCGGAGATCTAGGCCAATTTAGGCGGTTGATTTTAAAATACGAGCCGGATCTATTGCTGGCGCACTGGTCCTTGTTGGTCATCGGCGAAAACAACGCCGAAAATTTAATCCGGCTCATCAACGCCTGTCAGCAGCAACAAGATGCTCTATTCGCCGGTATGAAAGTAGTTTTTGAACTAGAAACTGAAGCGACGTCAGACACATATTCCGTCGCTGATTATTATTACGTCACGGCGCCTGAAACAGATATCCCTGTGTGGTCTAGAACTGGGTTTGGGTGTAATAAAAAAAAAAATTGTAAATTATTATTTTTTTTCATAATTTGTGTTCCGTTGGAATATGTAATAAAATTATTTTATAAACTGTATTTCATTATTGGGCCGCGCCTCAATTAATGATGGGTCTATGTCTAATGGGCCTCTAGTATCCACTTCTTTCATAGTTTTGATGGGCCTATTTTAATTGTTCATGTTAAACATTATATGGGCCTTATTATTGTAATTGGTCCATTGGTCTATCTACCAATTACAGCCCATTAAACATTAAACCTGCTCAGAAATCGAATTTATACAAACAATATAAATTTCATAAAATTGCATTTTATTTAATCATAAAAATGTACATAAATATTTTCCCATCGCCAGTCTTTTACATAATATGAAATTTCGTCGAGTACAATGGTCAGTGCGAGACAACAATTAACTACACTAATAATCCCAAAGCTGGATAATTTGTTCGTCATCCTGCATGCAATAAGCTGGGTAAATACAGTCGCCGTGAGGCTTCTGTGACCATGGGATGCCAGCCATGTATACATTGTCGCTGTAAACGTCCGGATTCCCAATACTTTCCGGAGGTTGTAGTTGAACAGGCATTCTATCTTGCACTCCCCCTGATTGCCCAATCTCGAGAGGTCTACTGCTTTGAACCACATCGGGTTCTTCAAAGTGTCGTAAAAGACCCCTGACAGCATCCTCTCTCTCCAATGGATGTGGTTCGACACATCCGTTTGTATGGAATATCGAACAACTGCAATGGAAGTGGAATATCTTCGTACGTTGGGCCTTCTTCTTGGCATTACGATGCCTCTTCTTGATTGGGTCTGCCGAACAGGGGCTGATCGACTGTATAGAATTATGCATTTCTGATCGTCCATGCTTTGAGCCCAGCGTGTTTACGCTAGCCGACAACACGATCGAACCAGTCGCCACAATTTTTTCAAATTGTAAATATGCCTGCCCAAAGAAAATAAAGGGCGGGATTCCGAGTATTATATTATGCAACCCCGGAGCCGATTCTAGTTACAAAGAGTTTACAATTCTCTTATGTCGTATGAATGCCTAATACATATTCTTATATTATGCAAACAGACCGCTGCGCTAGCATAATGTCAGAAGAAATACAACAACCCGATCTTACAGATAACCTATACCAAAACGAGGAGGGGGATTTGGAAATCGAAATCATAGACACGACATCAAACCTGCCAGTTTCCAATATATCAATAGCAAATCCAAAGATAGGAGATTCAATGTGGCAGAAGTTCACATTCAAGTCAATGATAATTGACAAATGCAAGCTAAGCTACAGGCCACAATGTCCATTTACTTCTACTGGTCGCGTCGAGGTCGAAATACGGGACACACGGTTACGAGCGGATGATCAATTACAGGCTCGCTTTACTTTTCCAGTTACATGCCCAGTAGACATCACGTATTATGGAAACGCGTATGCTGCCGCAGATAAGAACAGATGCCCATGGACAGCGTCGTACAGATTGCTACAAACAAACATCAACGACGGCGTGAAATATTGCAAAATGAAAGCCACATTGGCTTTCCAAACATCATCCTTTCCAGATGAAATTCCTTATCGGCCGCCATTAATAACTGTTTTGTCCAAAGTATTCAACAACAGCCACGTGGATATTTGGCACGTGGAGCAGAAAGTGGCGAAGGCAAGACTAACACGCTGTAATTTCGAATCACATTTTCGATCCACAATGACATTGTCAGCACCAATGGGCCAATACAGTTCTTCGGCCTAAAGGATAATGGCGGCACGATTGTCATCAAGTTCTATTCGGGATGGGCCCGAATCATTCAGTCGGCGCGACATGATTATGCAAACCCGAGGCCCATCAATAATCAACACTGGGCCAATTAATCAGCCTAGCGGCCCAGTTGACATAGGCCCATCAGTAAGTAAGGTCGGATCCAATAACTCCGAATCATCACGACTGAATATGGATGAGGTGTCTAAATTAATTTCCGAGGCTGTAAAGGCCGCAGTGGAAGGATCCGCATCAGCCCAGAAACATAATGTACAATGGAGGCCAATGTAAAACAAATTGTAATCAGTTATTTTATTAATAACATTATTTCAATCTACAATTCAAATGCGCCCGAACAAACGATTTTGTGCGACATTCCCACACAAAATAACAAATAATTGCATTTTTTACAATATTATTATACGCGCCAGTCAGAAGTCCACCACTATCCCAGAAATCGGATACAATATTGTTTCCCATGTTGATAAATGGGAAACAATATTGGAACGGATGTGTCGAACCACATCCATTGGAGAGAGAGGACGCTGTCAGGGGTCTTTTATGACACTTTGAAGAACCCGATGTGGTTCAAAGCAGTAGACCTCTCGAGACCGGGCAATCAGGGGGTGTACGAGATAGAATGTCTGTTCAACTACAACTTCTGGAAAGCATTGGCAATCCGAACATTTACAGCGACAATGTATACATGGCTGACATCCCATGGTCGCAGAAGCCTCACGGAGACTGTACTTAACAAATGTCATTTCACAATGATCTTCACAAATTGTACTACTACAAATGTCATTTCACAAATTGTATCCTGGGAGATAGACACCAAATGATCTTCACAATGATCCTTGGATGAAATGATGAATAATAACAATTTGTTCGGCGAACCAAACCTATATTCTAACTCAAAAAGAGGTTCTTACTGTAAGCACATTTGAATACCAATATTCAAACAATTTGTCCGCTAGTGGAAAATTTGAAATTTTGTCCGTTAGAGCAAATCTTTCAAATTGTTGCATCTTTATTATATAAACTATTTTGAATATATATACATATTAAATCATTTGAATATATATATTTAATATATATATATATATATTAAACAAATTGAATAGTTTAATAAATAAATGAAAAGGTACAAACTTTAGGAAACCACTTAGGAACCTAAAATTTGAATTTAGAATTAAATTAAATTCCCACAATTACAAATTTTAGGAAACCACTCAGGAACCCAAAATTTGAATTTTAGAATTAAATTAAATTCTCTCAATAATTTTTATTGAAAAAATTCAAAAGAATTTTATCTAAAAAATTAATGTTAGACCCGAAAACGACGTCAACTTCACATTCACTCATAAATGGTTTTGACATTCCGTCTTCACCGTGTGACTTGCCACGCGGCAAGGAACACGTCACCTCTTCAGACCCACCCCAAAAGACGTTTAAGGCCCACTCAAATTTGCCTATATTAAACCATTTTTCCAACAATCCCCCACATGAATGGAATTTGATGGAGAGAAAATGCAACAACATGATCTAAATTCAGAGAGTATAGAAATTGAAAATATTCTGCAAAGGATAGGTAGCTTTTGGCTTTAAACCTTCCCTTGTAAGACACTATCGGATTTACTAGCTAACCAGTGAAGATGATGTCTTGAACTGTTCAGCCATTTGTGTAAACCAAGACAATAGAACTCACACAATATATTCCCACACAGAGTTTAGTTCTCACTATTGTGTTCATTTTGGCCCTGAACAACCTGGTCTCTCATGAGTGCTCTAAAAACTTGTAGCCCTTCACAAATCTTATAGAACCGGCCCAGTTCACACTCACATAGGTAATTTTTATGAAGAGTATCCTGCCATACTCCACTAGATTTACCGGGATATAAGAATCATTAAAAGTATTACTTAACCTAAATCGCTGCAGACATCACTTATTTTATCATAAAAATGGGTAGGAGTTGGACTCCACAGTGATCCTTCTGAGTCAATCACAACTCGGTTGTCCCTTTGAACCTAGATCTTGGGATCTCCAGTCAACTAGGTTGGGTTGCCGTTGTGGTAACTCTTATTTAATAGGCTTAAGTCTCATTCCCCTCGATGAATTCTCAACTAACTCTCTTGCTAACCCTTTGGTTAGTGGATCCGCTATGTTGCCTTTAGACTTAACATATTCTATGGACATAATTCCATTAGAGAGTAGTTGTCTTACGGTATTATGTCGACGACGAATGTGTCGAGACTTACCGTTACATATATGACTCTGTGCTCTACCTATAGCTGATTGACTATCGCAATGTATGCATATAGCAGGCACCGGTTTTGGCCAAATTGGAATATCTTCAAGGAAGTGGCGAAGCCATTCTGCCTCTTCCCCTGCTTTGTCTAAAGCTATGAATTCAGATTCCATAGTAGACCTAGCAATACAAGTCTGTTTGGAAGATTTCCAAGATACAGCCGCCCCACCAAGAGTAAAGACATACCCACTGGTGGACTTCGAGTCTCTAGTATCCGATATCCAATTTGCATCACAGTATCCTTCAAGTACTGCTGGATATCTAGTATAATTAAGCCCAATGTTACGAGTAAATCAGAGATATCTAAGAACCCTTACAATTGCTTTCCAGTGTTCTACTCCCGAATTACTCGCCAAAAAAAATTCAATTGATGATATTGATGTATGTGAGGTTATTGTATATACATAGATTCAATTTAGTTATATTAATACATGGTTACGTTAAATGAACTAAATCTAATGATTCACTATTTTAGAAAAATGATTCACGATTTGGTAGAAGGTCAGCTAGGGAATGAACAATTAGCGTTACCACAATGTCCTTGGTCCTTTACATGGGTGACTGCACCTTTCTTCCTCCAATCGACAGATGGGGGGACCGTATCTACCTTCTCGTACATGAAAGTCCCATTCCCTTTAGGGCTCCCCCAGAGCATCCTGTGGTGCTTAACATTCGAACCGGCATAAGCGCTCTTGAATTCGTGGTTCGTCATGTCTGCAAACTTGTTCGACTTCAACTTGTAAGGTTTATCATTCTTGTTGGCGTTGTGAACATGGTGAGCATTGTACTTGAACACGTTGAATCGGTTGTGCTTCTCATCGAGGTTCCTAGACACCGTGTGATGGCTGTTGGAACAATCTTCTGTGTAAAATAAAATAACTAGAAATAAATTCAAACAAAATAAATAAATAACATACCAGATTTATTTATTGAACCGAATTAAAATTAAGACCAAGTCGAGTGTGTGAC